GAAACATCACTTCTCACAGGAGTAAGCACAGTCTTTTTGGAGCTTATGCGTAACAGAAAGATCATCAAATCCCGACACAAAGCTGCAAGCCGATTAACATCCTGAACACCGCACTCGGCCTTGTTGGGTTCGCTCAGACAGCAGGTACGCCTCATGCATCCTACTCTGGTTTGAAATACTTACTGACTTCTACATGTTAGTCTTCTCTGCCCTGCGCGTCTTTGTGATCTGGGATAGGAGCTATGTCTGGTCGCTAACAGTGCTTGCGCTAAGCATGGTGCCCTTCGTAACAAACCTGGTGTGCTGCGTCTCTGCTAGAGCCTCTTGCATGCTTCGGTTGACGTTCATGTTTAGATTAATTCGGCGATGTCCAAGTACGGTCTCGTCGCGGACCCACAGCTCGGCTTGCTATGTATCGCAGAAAATCCGTTCTCTGCACGGACTATCACCATGTATGCGCATATATCTTGCTGCTTTGGTCGTGGATGCTCAGCTGTTGCCGCGCAGATGTACGTCACCAGTCAAAGCTTTTGACGCGCCAGAGATATTGACAGTATTTATTCAGTCGTGTACATCACCCGCGGCTCACTCGTCCTCGCTGACACAACCGTGCTTATTCTGACCTGGATCAAGTCGTTCGGCATTGGAGGCGCGCTCGCCGTGAAAACGTCGGCGTAACACTAACGACATGTCTACTGCGTGACGGTCAGTTGTCCCCATGCTTTGGTACATTTTCCACCGCTGAAATCCGGCTGCCCATACAGGAACAATATATTTCATGTGAGCACAACAACACAGCTACCTATTACAGATGCTTCCTCACTGACTGCGATGAATATAGAGTGCTGCTAGCGATGAATATAACGTAGCTACTAACCTTTGATATCTCTGCGGTGCGTCCCGCGGCATGAACGCGCAGGTCGCCGGCTAACATCGTGCTCAAGGGCGTGTCGACCCTGAATGCGTTGACACAGATGCTAGTGCGCACCATGCTTCCCCTTCACCGATAGGACGCTTATAGATTGGCCATGTAGCCTCCGATGCTCATAAGCCGCTTTATGATCAACCTACGGACGGTCAGCTCGGAAGCACTGAACCACTCCGGGTGCAATAGTGATCAAGGCCAGGGAAAGTCGACGGTGCGGTTTAGAATGTCACAGAGTGTGCTGGGCAATATTGGGGAGACGCTCCAGAGTGGCTGGGATGACAACGAACCTCGGGACGAAGAAGATGACATTGAGGAAGTGGATGGAGCACGGCGTGGTGAGAACGACGCAGAAGTATACTCCAACGCAGAAGGCTGCACTTGAATATGTTTTGTTCCGAAAAAATAGCGAAACCTGCAGCGTATTAAGGTATTTAAGCAGGGAGCTCGAAGCTCAGAATATCGAAGATACCCATTCTGTGGTCTTAGGTCTCTCGTCGCAAGTCACTTCTCCGCACAAGTCTCGGCTTAAATCGCTGGGTGCATCTGCTGCTCACCTCGGTACATTAACGACAGCGATGCCTCCGAGGAACCTCACACGGATTTCGGACCTTTACTTACCATATCCTCCACTGCCGCCTGTTCTCCAGCTGCCTCAACCTCGCCCAAAATCGGTGTGGAGGTGAGATTCGGTGAGATTCGGTGAACTGATTGACAATTTATGCTCGAGGGGGAAAGAGGTCGGTGTATGCGGGGGGAAAGCGTATGCGGGGACGAAAAACCAACCCGCGCGGGAAGCGAACTCTGACAACAGAGTCGTTGCGAACGCCAATACCTGTCAAATTAGTATTCAGTAGCTCTGTTTGCATGCTCCAATACTTACTTGCTCGTGCCCGCGTTCGTCGCGGTCTGACTCAATACTCGACTCGGGTGCGTGTCTGAGAGAAAAGTTTGGAGAAAAGGTGCAAAGGCGCTCCATTTGAACGTGGGGGATCGTCTTCATATTACACGCAACATGTCGCTCTGCTGTTGTGCTTTTGGCCAGAAGGACGATTGATATATAGTGTACTAAAAATGAAGACGCATGTCAACAATAACAAGGCCTAAAAGGCAAGAAAGGGAGGGGAGGTTAATGTCCTGCGATAGAGAGGAAGAGATGACGTCAGGCTTTTGGAAAGGTCCACCGTTCCAACAGGCAGTGACTTCGAGCTGGGGCATTCGTCGCACGACAGGTTCTCACTTCATTTGCACGCACGATCCTGCCGCTCTCACGGGGCACCCTGTCGCTAGCGAGGTGTTGCTTACTTCCTGCGATCCAGATCAGACTGCCGCCTACTATCTGCGTACATGCGAGGAAGAAATATTGCGTCAAAGTAGGATGGGAGAGGGGGGAAGTGTTGTTCCTGGCTTCGAGGTAAATGGGTGAAGTGGGAAGATTAACGAAATATGGATCAAGCGCCGCCCCCGCTTCCATCGTGGCGGTGATGGCGGAGGCAAATGTCGGGACGCTTCACGCTTCACGCTCGGTGTATCCGCCGCTTTCTTCCTCAAAACAATGACGACATGAACGAAGACTACAGAAGGACTCCATAACAGATTTCGATCCTTTTTTTACCGCGACAGGTTCTTCAGCCGCCTCAACCACGTCAAAGCACTGGCTAGCTGACATTACGAGATACCATGACTTTCGGCTTGAGCGTCTGGGAAGGCGTGATCCCTGGTTTCCAAGATCCAGTGAACGGCTGACTTAGCTTGACATCTCAACATCTGCTTGTTTGGTGTGTACACATATTTGGTGTCGAGCAAATCGTGCGCATCTGTCAAGCTCTCGTCCCTGAATCGAGCCGCGAGTCCGGTGCAGAAAGCGGTGTCATGACAGGAGGATTGTGGCATTACCGGGCAGCACCGACCGCGCGCTTCGACATCACACAGCCGCTGGTCAGCCAGCTACGGAGATAGGTGATAAGCCTGCACTGTTCCATTGCACACGGAGCAAAAGCTGCATGCTATACTTGTATAAAAGTAAATCAGAGTCGCCGTAGCCCATGATTTCAAAAGTCCTTCCCATCGACCCACTTAAAGATCATGTCCTGCAGTGCGCAAAAACCGTGTCAGCAACAGCCCAAGAGCACACGCTGTTTGGATCACATACCAGAGTTGCTTCGGGCTGGTCATACGGCGCCATGTGTCTGTGCACAACACTCGAGTCAGAACTAACACTTCGGAGAGGCACAACCGAGCTTACCCTGCTTCGAATACCCGCACGAACGCCACCGAATTATTGCCGGCAGCGCGGATCTCACCGGCGTGATACCTCGTCGACGTTCTCCAGGGTACTGCGGGCGCAGTTGCTAGTTCAGTGTGGTGCTTGTGCTCGAGGCGGCTCATCCACCGATCAATACCCTGGAGCGAAAACAATCCATCAGCTGTCGGCGTTTTCTGTATGAAGTGGGCGCACCATGTAGTTGCACACGCCGTCGACGTCTCCTGCGTACGCCAGTAGCCGGATCCCGCGGTCTACCAACGGAGCGAGGAGTGCCGCGCTGTTGAGCATCGCTTGGCCCTTGTAGTAGAACGGTACCTGGACGCCCGTATTGACCATCTGGAAGTTGTAGTCTGGGTCGACGCCAAGAGCACGCTTCGTCGATGTCTTGTTCAGCCAGGCCGCGATGTCATCGAACTCGGCATAGCACAGGCCTAACGGTGTCTCGTCGCAGGACTTCCGCAAGTCGTACACGTTCTTGCCGCTCTCTGAGATGAAGACAGTCATTCCACAAGTTCGCAAAGATAGCGGATTACGTACCTGATAAAGGGCCCTCGAAAAGCGCGGGCCAGCAGTACAAGGTAGCGGAGACGCAGGTCGCGTTAGTCTGGTATTGGTAACAAGAATTGATCATTCGCAGGCACGCAGGGGTCTCAGCCTGCCATGTCCTGCACCTGCTGTCCTCGGCCTCGAACGGCGGGTACGGCGCGCCTCCACACATGTACTCCGCTATTGTCTCGAACTGCGACGCTGGCTCCGTTAAGCCGTTCCCGAGCAGGATCGACTTGAGGTTGACTTTAAGCTGTCCGCGGCGTGGTGCGTACACGAGCCGATCGTTCTGTTCGTCGACATAACTTGCAATGTGTGGGACGTAGTGCCCGCCCCAGCTCTCGCCCGCGATGTGCAGCGGAAGCTCGGAGTAGCGCTTGAAGCGGCGGAGAAAGAGTTGCAGGAACGCGTACACGTCCACTGCAAGGTTCGCGAGCGTTGTGCTGCCCGGGCTGCCATACGAGAACCCCGTGCCCACGGGTTGGTCGAGGTAAATAATGTTGACCTTCTCGTTCCATCCGAAGGGATTATCGACGACGCGTCCACTTGAGGCGTTGAACCTGCAGGGGCCGTTCTCGAACAACAAACCTGAAGCGATTGAGCTTGCGCCGGGACCGCCGTTCAGCCATAGCATGAGTGGTGCGTTCTCGGGTTCGTGTCGTGCTTCGAAGAACCTAGGGCACCTGGATCAGGCCTGTCTTTATGGAGTTGTGGTTGAAACGCACCAGAAGAAGAGGTGTTTTTCATCTGCAATGTCGAGATAGCCAGAGTATTGCTGTGCCTTCTTGTCGCAGAGCTTGGGCTCAGTGACGCGGAGCTGGCGCGCTTCGAATAAGTCGTGCTGCACGCGCTCAACTAGCATGCGCTCCGAATTTTAGCAACGACGCGCATGCACGAAGGCACAAAACGTACATGCCACGCCATCCTTCTCATAAGTAGATACCAACAGCCCATCATCCGCTATGCCGTCCCAGAGCGTCACCTGCGCAGTCCCTGGCACCTGTGGCAGGCAGAATATGCTACCAAGGAGTGGAGAGAGGACGAATCCTGTAGCGAGTGCGCGAAGCATGTCGACGACAAGACCACGAAGAGCGCAGTCGGTCCAGGTCAATCCCTTTGGATTGTTGATAACGGCACATCAAGCATTGATATGTGGGAGTCAATGTCAATTGATTTGCGCAGCGTTGATGACAGTAAGCAAGTCGGGTGACAGACTGAATTCGCGGTGCACAGGGACATGCGATTGTGCACCCATAGCAGTCCCAAGGCTGAGCGGCAGGGATCGAATGAAGCAGGATGTAGGCTGGAAGTTGTCAAACAGTGCAGGATAGGCTCCAGCGCAGCATACGCACGGCCGCCGGACGACGTTGATCTCATCACAAGGGCGGATCAAGCTGCTGATATTTAGCGCCAGAGTGGGATCTGCCAGTGTACGCTCATCAAGTTACACCGTGCCGTCATAAGCTACACAAGTACTATCAGGTATGCTGGCGCTGCTTGAAGCCAACTGTGTCCGATGGTGCCTTACCCTCCCGTCAGCATAGCGGGATGCAATGCCCTGCACACAGGTTTCTGGATGACGGGCCCACTGCGTTGGTTCCTATAGGCTTTGCCTGGAAAATGATTCATCCAGCTGAGCTTATCCAGCGGATACTCGTTCCTTCGAGTACTAGTCACAAGTCAGCGCGGTGCTTAATGGGCGCGGAGATCGTGCTGATAGACGACCGCCCATGGCCAGGTTGTTCATAAACCGGCGTGCAAGCGGCGGCTCGCCCTCGGCGTCGCTCGCCTCCCTGTGCCCCCCAGACTTGCTATGTCAGGACAATACTCAGAACAGGCTCTTGCCCAAGCCTACTCGCAGTAGTAAGCATCGCCCCTGCTCTTGGCGAGTCAATACACATATTTCTGTCGTCCAGCCTCGTCCAGCAAGATTGCTTTCTAGCCGTCTCATGCAAGTACCGTGACACCCTTCGTTTCTCATTGCGCTGCTCACAGTGTCTATCCCTTAGGCCTCGTCTTTTACGAGTTCGTGATCACCATTGGTGACGAGATCAACATCGTCTGGAAGAGACCCGTCACTGTATCTGCCGTGCTGCTTGGCTCGTTACGATGGTGCATGGTCCTCACGATTATCCTGCAACTTATTCCAGAGACTCCGAATGTAAGCCTTAGCTCTCTCTGACCATGCAACTCTAAAATAATACTTCTTACAGGCGTTAGTAAAGTCCTTTTAAACCCGTGCACAATGGATTGCTTACCGGAACTTGACACATAGTTGCGCACCGCTCAACATTCTGGGCTATGTTTTCCTTCTCATTGGGTTTTTACAAACCGCAGGTGTGCCCCATACGGCGCTCTCCGCCTTGAAAGTCTACTGACTTCTATACGTCAGTCTTCTCCGCTCTGCGCGTGTTTGCGATTTGGAATAGGAGCTACCTCTGGTCGCTCATAGTGTTCGCATTGAGCATGGTATCTTTCGTGATGAACCTGGTATGCATTGCTTCCGCCCGAACACTGCGTATCTTCTGGCTGACGGTTCTGTGCAGATAGACGCGGCGGTAACAAAGTACGTTATCCTCGAGGAACCAATTTGGGGCGCGGTATGCGCCTCAGAGTATCCATTCTCTGTACGGACTACAAACATGTAAGTATACATGTCTCGCTGCTGCTGTTTCTGGGTGCTAACCCTCGCGATATAGACGTGCGTATCACGTATGGAGTTTTTGTCAGACGCCGAGGAACTGATATCGCCTGCTCGCAGTTATTTACAGCACCCGTGGCTCAGTCATCCTTGCTGACACGATCGTGCTCGTCCTGACTTGGATAAAGACATTCAGGCATTGGAGGAATGCCCGCCGTGTCAACCTTGGAGTGTCGCTGACGACGTGTTTGCTGCGTGACGGTCAGTAGCCCTCCATGCACTGCTGCATTTGCCATCGCTGGAACTCACCTACTCATCCAGGAACCATCTACTTCATGTGAGCACGACCACAAAGCCGTCCATACCGAACGGATTCCTTACGGGTAAAACCAAAAACAGAGCCCTGCTAGCAATTAATATAGCCGAGCTGGTAACCTTCGACCCCGCTACGGTACGTCCCCGACATGCACGCGTGGACCGACAGCTGACGTAGAAATTAAGGACACGTCTCCCGTTGGCGCATTCATTACGTCGCTGGTGTGTACCTTTACTTTCCTTCGCCCCGTTGACGCTCATGGGTTGGCCACGCAGCCCCTCGTACTCATCAACCGTTTCATGATCAACCTACGGACGGTCGACTCGGAAATGTCGGACGACTCTACGTACACTACTGATCGGCAGCAAGAATCTTCGACAGTGCAGTTCAGAAGGTCGACGAACCGGTTGGGCAACATTGGAGGGGCGCTTCTGAGCGGGTTGGATGATGATGAGTCTTCGGACCAAGAGGACATGTTCAACGCAGCAGACGAGGTGGAGGGTTATGATACTGGTTTAGAGATGTGAACCAATGCAAGAGATCATACTAGAGTATCCTTTTTCACCAAGTGAACAATTACATATGCTATCTGCGCGATCGGGAAGCCCAAAGCTTGACATCGAGTATGCGATTGAGTGGTACGCTGGCCTACATCCGCGTTAGTCTCAACATCTATTGTTTGATGCACTGCCCGCCCTCTCTGCATACTCACGATGGCGGGGATGTCTGCCTGCGGCGTCTCGTAGGGCCGTTCCTCCTCGGGAAGCTGAGATGCGAAAACCAACACGTTCTGCTTTCCCGAGCATTAAATGATTGATTCTCTGTGATGTAGGAGGCTTCCCGACCAGGAGTAACAATTCCGGATCCGTGAATCGCCCAATGACAGGATGTCCGTAGGTTTAGGGGCTTCTGTGAACCGTGAAAGAACGATTCCTGTTACCATCATCGCGATGTAGATAGGAATAACGAACTCTAAAACCAGAGGAAACTGCAAGACCGTGGCCATCTTAGATAGTACGACAGCTCACCGCAGAGAGCTATAGCCATGACATCGTCCTTGGTAACAAATCAGGGTCACATCCGATTCGCAGCCCCCGAACCAGGCAGGTCTCGCGTATGTGCGCCTCTGCATGTCGTCTGGAGCCTTCGCGGCCGCAAACTTGCGTATCGCGATGATCTGTCACATCATCTCGGTGGCTGTACCTATCGACCGCGGGAAGTTGCAGCTCAAGATCTTCGAAATGAGGTTTTAGAGGTAGGGAATTGGGAGAACCGCGATCATCTCAACGGTGCACTGCGGGATGTGGCGCACCAAGGCTGTGCTCCAAGGTTCGGATGCTAGTAATGCAGATGTGAACAAGTGACAGATGGGGGACCAGTTCCTAGAAAGCCTGAGCGTTTGAAGCCCAACGACGGATGCCATGAGGATTGCCGCTTTGGCCTTACGTAGGCTGCACAAACTATGAGGGGCATTTAGTTAGGCCGTCAGGCGAAAACACGGGACGACCCTCACTCGTGATCGTCTCACAGCCTCCTTCGGTAAACTCTTCAAGTTTCAAAGCTTTACATAACGTTCAACGCTCAACGTTTCAACGTCAACCCGCAATCTCGCTCGCATGTCAAGGTGATAAACACACCCCGCCTAAAGTGAAGCCAAAAGCGCATCAAGGGGCTGAGGCTGAATGTGATATATTCCGAGTCGGAGTGCATGGCTTTCGCGCAGATGTACAGATCGGCGATCGTGTGCCCGCAGCACCCCGGAGCCGAGCTCGGACCCGGGAACGTTTGGGTAAGTCCGATGGTGAACGGGGCGCAAAATGACTGTGACGCCCGACAGGCGCGTCGACGCATCAACGCATCAGTGCATCAAAATCATAGGTGAGTGAGCCCTAGTCACGAAGATCAATTTCGTCATGCCTCTTCTCCATCTCATGCCGAGCATATCGCTCCCTAGCTCATTGATATGTTCACTTCCAGCGACCGTTTAAGACTGCATGTCAGACCACCTGTCCTTGTGGCAGTGCCTTTGTGTGCCGCACACATCGCACAAACTCTCCGCAATCATACAAGCTGCCATCCGCATCAGTGAACACAAGCCCGTAGCCCGAAAGCCGAGGTAGTTAGAGTTTCCTGTGAGCTGTGTGCCTTCAAGCTGTGTTGAAATTGGGTACTTGCGGGCGATACAGGTGGTGCGGATAGCGCCGGCTGGCATATGAGCGGGTGATCTCATTTCCTTCTAGTGCTGAGCATACCAACAGACTTCCACCGCCACTCGGGAGACCGGTCTGAGTTTTAACCTGCTTTAGCATGACCTAAACCCGCAATTAAGCCACCCAAACCTGCGCCCGTTGGCCAGGCTTTCCCGCCAGCGCTTCAAGAGGCTCGCTTAGTTGGCTATAAACCGCGCAGCTTGCGGCCTACCTTCACTGCAGCTTGTCCCCCCACTTACCTCACCTTTGACATGTCAGCACAGTTGGATCCGGCTCTTGTTCATGCCTACTCGCAGTCGTAAGCATCACTTTTATTTGCACTTAGCGACCCAGCGCTCACCCCACTATCGTCTAGTGTCGTGGAGGGCTATATCAGCATAGCTGCCACATGCAAGTACACCCTTCACTATTCATTGTGTGCTTCTCAAGGCATCTATCTCGCAGGTCTCTTTGTCTACGAGTTTTTGATCACTTTCGTTGATGAGATCAAGATCATCTGGAAGAGACCTGTTACCGCATCCACCTTGCTCCTCGGCTCGGTACGATGGTGCACGCTTCTCTCAGACATTCTGCAAACCGTACAAGTTGCATCCTCAACTGCGAATGTAAGTCTTAAAATGTTTGTCACAGCGTGGAGTCTAACATAATGCATCTCACAGAAGTAAGCCCATATCCTGTCCGCAACGGCGTGTTCATTGAAACTCGATACAAAGCTGTAAACCACTTGGTATCCTGGGTCTAGTGATCATCCTCATCGGCTTCATTCAGACCGCATGTGCGCCCTACGCAACATGCTTAAGCTTGGGATGCTAATTAATCTTTGTGCGCCAGTTTTCTCCGCCTTGCGCGTCTTTACAATCTGGAATAAAAGCTATGTCTGGTCGCTGCTTGTGTTCGCACTGAGCCTGGTGCCCTTCATAACGAACATGGTGCGTATTGTTTTTGCCAGAGCCTTGTGCGTGTTTTCCTGATGCCTCCATGCAGATTTCCTTGATAACGCAAAAGTACGGTTCCGTTGTGGAACCGCTGTTCGGCTTGGTATGCATCACGGAGTTCCCGTTCTCTGCGAAAACAGCTAGCATGTATGTGAACGTATCTAAACGTCGCAGTTTCTGAATATTGAGCCTTCCCAACGTAGATGTACGTCCCGCAGACTAACACAGTCTATGTTCTTTGGTATGCAGATGATACTTACGCCATCCGCTCAGTGGTTTACACCACCCGCGGCTCGCTCATCCTCGCCGACGCGATCGTGCTCACCCTGACCTGGATCAGGACATTTAGGCACTGGAGGAACGCTCGCCGTGTCAACGTGGGAGTGTCGTTGACGACATGTTTACTGCGTGATGGTCAGCAGCTCCCTATGTCACGTTATATTCCCCGCTGCTGAACAATAGCTATCCACGCAGGAACTATCTATTTTATGTGAGCGCGACGACAAAGTTATTCACTTCATATGATTGCTTACAGACGACAATGCACTCAGAGCTCTTTTAGCGACGAACGTTACACAGTTGCTGACTTACAACGTCACGGTACGTCTCCAACGTGAGTGTGTGGGCCAGTGGCTGACATCACACCCAAGAATCTGTCGCTCGTGGGCCCGTTCCTTGTGAACTTCGTGTGTGCTCTATCTCTTGATTGCCTTTTGGGTGCTGATAGACTGGCCACTCAGCCCCCGGTTCTCATCAACCGCTTCATGATCAATCTAAAGATGATCGACTCAGAAGTGCCGGGCGACTCGACGTGTGTTACCGATCAGCAGCAAGGACAGTCGACGGTGCAGTTCAGACAGTCGACGAATCGACTTGGGAACATCGGCGGGACACTGCAGAGTGGTTGGGACGACGACGACGAGTTCGAAACTTGGGACCAAGAGCCTGAGGATATCATCAATGCGGAGGTGAAAGAGTCTGAACATCATGAGAATAGCGTAGGAGCATGAGATAACAGTGATATTTATTATGTTGGCGGGCGGGGAGCTCGAAGCTTGTGACGGGCGTCGGAGTTTAACTTGAAAAAGTACTGAACTCTTCTGTATATAATCGTCAAAAGAGGCTGCTGTCCAATACGATGTTATTCAAAGTGAAGAACAAGAAGCGGGATGCCGCAGTTGAAAACAGCCTAGGAAGAGATAGGTCATAATTTCATTTGATATATCATTGTGAAACCAGTTAAAACGTCACCAGGCCTTTGTGCTTCGCTCCAGGCGGGTCTCGTAGACAGGACCGCCACGGCTGCCGGCGAAGTGTCCTATTGATATGGTCAGCTGGAATACGACAAACTGAGGGTTCCGCTACTCGCCTCCACCTCTAACAGCTAGTATATTCAGTGCCGAATGACTCCCGACCCTCGATTTCTTCCCTTTCTTCCGTGATATGACCAAGCTCTTCTTCATCGTCATCTGTGGGGCTGTGCCCGAGCGGTTCCCCAACGTTCCCGAGGATACTTTCTCGGACATTGAACCTGACCGCTGAGAGTTCAGCCGGGAGCTGGGAGCCCGGGATTACCTGCGAGAGGTCTGAATCACCTGGTGAGCGAAGGTTGAACAAAAAACGACTGATGAGGACTGCAGGCTTCAAGTATACGATAAGTATTAGTCTCTAAACGCGTTTATGCCGGGATGAGAGCCGTACCAGCAACGTGATAACTTCAGTGATTACTCCTTGCAGCTACATGTGGAATCAGGTTTAAGCCGTGAGTTTAATACGGCGAGAAACTGACCCACAGTCTCAGATTCGACCATTTGGAGAATGTTCAGCGCCAACAAGACTCTGAAATCGTCCGAGATTGGCCACTACCTTGCTAATAACAGAACAAATTTTCGTACTCACATGAAATATAACGTTCCTGACGTACGATATGAGCACCGGAAGGGCGGAATACAGTTCAAATGTGCACCCACCATCGCGTAGAAGACATGTGGTCGCCGAGAGCCGCATCCTGAGTCGAGAGGCTTCCCGCCATTGTCTGAATGTCTTCTTCCATGTGACGACCAATACAATCAAGTCCGACACCACCAAACTACCACGAGAGGCATACTCCACTAAACAAAAGTCACACATACACATAACCGTACCAGGTGTGATGAACGCACATCTAAATATTGTTAGTGTTTTCTTCGAGGGTAATAAGCCTAGATACATACATGCCCCATTTATCTGGTAAGGCTTGGAAGCAGGTGGCCAGCGGTGGTTCGAGATATTGATTGACGCTTCGAATCGTTGTATACTGAAATGGTTGACGAAGATGTCGACACTGCTAGGCGGATTATGTCTGAGACTCACTATACTTGTCCCGAGAGGCACCAATCCCAAAGTCAGAGTAACAACAAACAGCACACGGCTCCTGCCGGCAATAGCATACAAGCGGAGAGAGGAGAAGACTAGGAACGATATCGTGAGCGACATGTATCAGCGTCAGACACAAGAACATACAGGCCATTTGGAAGTATCCAATTTGACCGAGAACTAGACTCGACACATCAAGTGCGGTGCATCTGAGCAGGAGTTTACGACCACTAAGAGAGAAAGTACCAAGTTCAGGCGAGGGACATACTTCTGCAAATAAGGGAGTTAGCGTGGAAATTTGTAGGCTCATGTCGGGGTTTACATTTGGCGTGCCGGGTATAAAGTCCAGAAGGGCGTTGGACAGCATTACCCGTCGTGTGGACAGTAGGAGCACCGACGTGAGATTAAGCCTCCTCCTCCATACGGCAACTATCTCTTGGTCCAGGGTTATTAGATATTCGTAACAAACCAGAGCTGGAGGTGTGCTTCAAATCAGATTCCATGTTTAGCGACAACGTCTCAAGATGTACCATTGCATGCATATTGCGTCCAGCTGGATGTTACGCTAGTCGAATGAAATCAGCTACGGCTCGAATGCAGGGTGTGGAAGACGTACAATCCCGAGAGAAGACGCACGAAATCGGGCCAAGAATCTGTTGACATGGCTCCCGAAGAGCCGAAGCTGGGGTTGAATTGTCGTAGGAGGAGAGAGGAGAACTGCCAGCTATGAGATATAATCGAATTTCACCTTTATATATAATCCATCGCACACAACACAAGCCAGGGATGCAAGCACCGACGATAGGATCCGTAGAACATAACAAACACCATAACCGTAATAAGAGTTGTCACCGACCGGAAAAATTGGGGGCGCGGAGGAGGACACCTTCCGCTCCTCCAAGCGCTGAAAAATATTCCTACCGTATTCCGTGGCGTACGAGTCTTGTCCGATATCTGGCTGGCAAGAAGGTACGTGCCGCGATTGAGTCCTTCTGACAATTGAACGCACTCCACCCAGCAGAGACGTACAACAGGCGACTTCTTTGAAACACCCCGTAAGATTTTACGACAACAAAAGACGCAAAGTTTTTGGATCGGCATGTCGTGCCTAAAAAAGTGCCTGGAGGCACAGGAGCATCTGCGAATCGAAATTGAATGAGTTGTAAGCGCAGCCACGAGATATAAGGCTAGGTGTTAGGAACTTGAAGGCAACACCGACCGCGGCCGTCGCAGAGAGCATGGCAACAAAGAGCCAAAACCACGGCCCGCCACCTGGAGCAGCGTAGAACCACATCCGAACAAAAGCTCCTAAACCGGATCCTGCGTAAATTCTCCGGTAGTCCGGAGCCTCCGCCGCCGCGAGATTGCGCATGGCAACTGTATACCACGACACTTCAAGGCCGGCTCCTATATATCGAGGGAATCGGGGCTTGAGGAACTTCGGGGTGAGGCTCCAGAGATAGATGATCGGAGCGAGTGCAATCATCTCGACGGTGTACCACGAGGTCGGGGAGTACAGCGGTTCCATGTCCCAGGGTTTGATGTCAGATACCGGAGGTGACGGTTCGAGGTATCGTTGTTCTCGAGGGGATTCCATCAGCGCGCGCGGCAGACGTGGACTGAGGATGGATAGCCGACCAATCCCTAGGAGGTCAGCATGCTTGTGGCGCAGGGCAGATTCCATGAGGTCGACAGAGGAGAGGCCGCCGGTTAAGAGAATAAGAGGTCGCTGCAGACCCGGAGTTGTCTCTTGCAACTGCTCGAGCTCATGAAGCGCTAACCGGGAGAACCGGGAGAAGATAGCTTGTCGCTTCGACCCCAGGCTGCCTGTGATGAACTCTGCATATGTTCAGCCTTGTAGGTAGGCGGCAGCATGGACATGTCCCACCTGGACGCTCATATGTACCACCGCTTACTTCGATGAAATCTATCATCCTCCAGTTTGCAATCTCGCGCACATGTTGGAGGACAAGCGTCTCGTCGGACGCGGCACCATGAGCGTAGTCCGCCGCGTTGAGCTTGATGCCTAGCGCGAATTCCGAAGGTACCACTTCGCGGACAGCTGTGGCTATTTGCAGCAATAGGCGCAAAGGGTTGGCTGAGGCAGAGTACTGGTCTGTCCGTAAGTTGGACTACAATGAATCGGTGTAAAGAAAGGCTCCGAAAATATGATCAGAACATACCTGAGGTGAGATGAACTCAGCTAGGAGATCTACCGCAACAATTTTTAGTAAACAATGAAGCTTAGGAGAGGCGTACGCACACCCATGTGCTGCATGAAGCTCTATACCATCGAAGCCAGCGCCCACAGCTAGCTTAGCGCTGCGTACGAATGCTTCAACTACGTCTTCGATGTCTTTCAAGGACATCGCTCGTGGCGTTTGGTAGAAAAACCGAGATATCAAACCAGATACCGTCCATGCAGGTGATTCGGAGTCTAGGTTCAGCCGTGATGCGCTGGGAGCTAACGGCGACACGAAGGGCCATCTCCCGCCAATAATATTTGGAGATTGTCTTCCACCATGGGACAGCTGTAGAATCGCCAACGGCCTATTTTCAGTGTCCGCACCATGAATACTCTGTGCCAGCTCTTCAAACGGTCGAACTGTGTCCCTGGTGAGAACTCGGGGTATAGTGATATCTCTTCCCAAGGAGAGATGATTCCTGTCAATCTGGACGTTCCCAGTCATTACTATTCCCCAGTTCCCTTGGGCCCATTTGGAGTAAAGCGCGTAGTGGCGGACATTCGGCGGACCACCGAATATTGCGGCCAGATGTTCGTACAGGGCCACCTATAAGCGCAAAAATCAGCACTGTACTACAAGCCAAGCAGCAGATAGCAAAAAGTCCGACCTTCGCAAAGCGGTTGGGTACAGTGAGTCCACATGGCAACGTGACGGGAGAAAGTATGTCTCCCTCGGTCTTCGCGCCGGAGATTCCTGAGCCAAGATTGGGGCCTAGAGCAGCTTCAGCCCGAGTTTTGGAGGAGACGAGCAGCCTCATAAGCACGAGTACCAACCTATATAGGATACAAAACTCGTAGTAGTCATATCAGGATGCGAGGGCTGCGCGTTGGATCAATGTGGTGAGGGAACAGATTTGTCGATCAATGAGCCCGTCGCCTTGCGGGTCGCTCACCGTCTCTCCCCGCTAGTGCAGTCTTAGCGCACCGCTCGCCTATTAGGCGCCTTACTACATCGCAATCGTTGGGATCGAAGGATGCGGCCTGTGTGACGTGGATACAACGCATGGTAAATTCACTCGCCTTTGGCAACGTATATTGCACGGGAGGAGATCCCGGCAGAAGACTCGCAGATCCGAGCCTGAAACATGGGTATGGCGATAAGATAAAGGCGCTTAAGGGTCATCTTATCTCAAATTTTCTTTCCCGGGCCATTGCCGATTTTATATACAATCCTGCAGTGCTCGTTGAACTTGCTCCTTCACATCACCAAGTCGATATCTGCATAATTTATGTCATTTTTCTTGTCTCGAGCTATCTGTTATTCACGTCTCCTGCTCACGATCTGTTCTCGCCACATGACTGCCGCCTTGCCGGCAGCTCGGATTTCGACAGGCTTCTTATGATGTCAGCTCTGCAAAAAGGATATAAGGCAGACGTGAGAGCTGAATGCTGGCAGAGCTCCCACCGCAGCCCCTTTACATAGAGAGGCCACGCTAAGCATCTGCAGTCATGGCCGAAGCAATTCTGACCGAGGTTCATGTGAGCAATATGTTCGACCTCCGCGGGGCCGTTGCAGTCGTTACCGGTGGCGGGACTGTAGGTGTTCGCTAGTTCAGCGACTACGTGCTAGCTAACTGTTGATGTGTAGGGAATTGGCTTGATGATTAGCACAACACTTATCTCTAATGGAGCCACAGTCATCATCATCGGCCCAGTCCAGGCGGACCTTGACAGGTGTACCAATTACCGTAAGATTAAGTTTATTAGGAGACTTACCACCAATGTTACAGGACTTGCAAGCTTTACAATGATGCGGCTGAACGGACCGGCAAGCATGGCAGGCTATACGGCATTGAAGGCGACATTAGCAAGAAAGTGAGCTTGGTTATCCTCGAAGTACACCCTTGGATTAATCTGGGTATAGTCAGAAGCTATTCGCCTAGCAGAAGAGGTGGGAAAGAAGGTCCCACATGTAACAGTTCTCTTTAATAACGCAGGGTGAGTCTTTTACCCACATGCGACCCTTTTCATTTGCCCTGGACAGCTCGCTTTGCAGAATCTCCGAAGGCAAATTTGATCGTCCCACGGAGATGACGGCAGAAGCATTCAAGAGAGCGTATTTCAATGATCTCAAAGAGGAGACCTTTGACCGAGTAATCCATACCAACGCAGTCGGCCCGTACTGGCTCACGTTCGCTTTCCTTCCCTTACTCGAGAAGTGGAAGGAAAGTGGATACCGGGGGCTTGGGGGAAAGAAGTTCGCTCCTCAGATAATCATGACTAGCAGCATGAATGGCTGGACCAAGGACCCAGCGACATCCGGCTTCACCTTCCCTTACTTGTACTCCAAATCTGCAATAGGACACGCCACCGAAACTCTCGCTCATGAGCTACTTCCGCTCGGCATCCGAGTGAACGGCATCGCTCCCGGTAAGCGACCGACGTTACCTCTCCGTTAACCGCTAACGCGACATCTTGTACAGGACTGTTTCTCACTGAGATGTCGGCCCCAGGCACTTCCGACGAACTGGGTGTGTCACGCCTCAACAACACGTCCAAGTTCGGCTTCCAGGTGCCCTGCTTCCAGCCTCCTCCAGACGACGGCTCTCAGCCAATTAATGCAGGCTCGAGAACGGACGCGGGTGCGCTGGCCTTGTTCTTGGTCAGCAACTGGTTCGTCAACGGCGAGACTGTTCTTATTGATGGAGGCGTAAGTATTTCGCCACCGAAGATGCGCCTGATGCTGACTTCTTGCATTGTAGACACTGCTCCTCCACCCGTCGTCGTTCTAGATGTGTGTATCTGGGAGCTTCCTCTTGCCTATGTGTATGTACAATGCCGAGCGTCATGAATTGCGACTGTCTTGCGTCAGCAGCTGCAGATTGTCAATGGTGCTTGTTCTGGTTGCCCCTAAGGTGCCACGGCATGCATGGTTTCTCCTGTGAGGACGCGATGGGTCGATAGCTACGACCGAGCGAAGTTGTCCACGGCCAACTTACTTTGTTGCAACCCTCCATAACCTTACTTGATTCTCGCGGTCATACCAGACAAATTGCCCATGCTATTAAAATCTGATGTATATTAGCACAATGGTATACAATACGTCTACTCGATACATCAGTATGGCGCACAGCGTCCCTCCGATGCCGAAAGAGCTAAGCGACCCTACGAACGAGACTGGAATATCTCGAAGTAGGCCGTATACTCTTCGGGTGTCATGCTCTCCTGGTGTTCCTCGGTAACCCCGGAGAACTTCATTCGATCACCGTTCACTAGTAAGTGGTTAGCACAAGCGAGAGAATGGAAGACATCGTTGGACCTACCATATACAATGGGATCATCCATAAGCCCTTCTGGCGCTGGCCCTTCTTCAGCCATGACCGGTGGCTCGGGCTCGGGCTCAGGAGCAGGAGGCGCGAACCCATTCGACAGCGAGTGACCGTTAAGTTTCGGGGTTTTGCTCGGACCTCGGTCAAGGCCACTGTCTTCCAGTGATCGCGAGCGCTTTCGGTATTCGTTCAGCGAGTCAAGATACTCAAGATTCGGCTTGACGTCCTCTTCTTCCTCGCCAAACTCGCTGAGATTGGTGAGGGCGGGAGTATCCTGCGCGGAGGTACTGTTCGAGGCGACCAACGAGGCATAATACTGGTCGTAATCTGCAGATGTCATAGTTAGCAACAGTGAATTCTGAGACGCGTTGAACGTACATTCCGCATCGTTCATCTGGGTAACCACCGGCTTCACGTTCACATCCAGGTCGATGTTGCGCACTGGCTGAGGCTCCACCTTGGTCAGCCCGCGCAGGATCGCATCGTTCGAGCTTGGTAGCCGGTTCGCATCCACTTCCGCCTGCTGCTCCGCCCTCGCATGCTCCCGAATGCCAAGCGCGGTGAGGTCGCCAGATATGGTACTCTTGAGGTGCCAGGCGGGTAGTATATTCTGCATGCGCTTAGCAGCGGCTTCTCTGTCCCGCTCGGCCCGCTGAGTGGCTTCGTCCTTGTCCACCGACATGACGACTCCTATGGTGTCCTCGTGCCTGCCGTCTCCAGCCGAGCCAGCAATTCTGAGCCCGCCCGACTGAGCAGCGGCCTTCGCCCTCTCCGCTTCGATGTTCTTCTTGATCCAGACAGCCACATCAAACCTGAGACCCAGAGTCAGCGGACACAGCGACGCTGGAGCGAACATCTGCAACGTACGCAGGGAGAACCATGTCCTCAGTTTTTCGGAGACCCTCTCGAATGAAGCGCATCTGCCTGTTGAAACGTTGCATACGGTCCTGGCTGCCGCGAACACTTTCCGCATTCTCATTGTCGACGAGCTCGGCGTGACAGATGTCGCAAATGAAGGTTCCAGCAGCGAAATCCATCAGCTTGTCAACTTCCAAAGGGGAAAATAGCTTTTGACACTGCGAGCAGATGTATCCCTTGTTGTCAAGTTCCTAACGATGGAAGGTCAGAATCGTACAAGAAGGGTAGACAAATAGGCTTGCATTTCTCAAGGTAGAGTCTATCCGCCGGCGCATTTCCGCCACACGCCACTTGACAACATTGCAGAACTGTTGGTAGTCGATATAATAGTACTGCCGTCCAACAGATCTCTGAGCACCCTCCTTGAGCTCATTTTGGCGGTGACTGCGGCATCCTTAGCAGTGGAATGGTGAGCAAAGGCGAGAAACGCACACTTTGACCAGCTTGTCATTCTCCAGAACGACCATCACCTTATTGAGCTCCTTCAGTTGGAAACCCATCCTCCCGGCCAAGTCATCATCTTTGAGACTGGCAGCGTACCAGAGCAGGCACTACTGCTTTAGCGGCCTAATACAAAGCAAATTTTCATTCTCGCAACAGTACTTACACCGGGTGCCGGACCAGCTGGTCCATTACGACAGTGTACTTCGGCTCGTAGAAGGCACGTAGAACATGTTGCACCAGCAGATGTAGTGTTTCATGGTCCTCTTTCGAAAGCTGAGATGACATCTAGGCCGGAAGGCCTGGGGAAAGTATGAACGAGTGTCTAAGAGAGAAGGTGCCGCGGTGTGAACGAAGAGCCCTGGGTTGTTGGTGCGTACACGAGGTGGTGGTCGTGGGGTGAGTGAGCACTCCGACTCAAGTTGCGGGACCGGTCCAGAAAGCCCTGATTAACCGCTTGGTAATCCAAGTACGACTTAGCCCGAGCCTTAATTACTATCATTATAATTAAATAAATAATTATGGTAATGTATTTTCATCCGACTGACAGGAAGATTACCCCATCTATGCATGAACAAAAGATATATATTGGACGTCATACCACCGTCGTACTACGCTTCCTCAACGCCCCAATCCCCTTGCTCTCTCTCTCTCTCGCTGGTGCTATCTACACCTTATACGAACGCTGCAGCGTCCTGTGCCCTCCGCCGAGCTTTCAGTCGTTGAAGAGAGCTGACGCGACCACTGGGTCGGGGACGTCGCATTCAACCTTCAGCAGCCAGTCCGCCCTCAATATCTCACGCCTGCAGGACAGACTGTTACTGGCGCCCATGCACATGCCTTCTTCACAGGGACTTCTTAGCGTAGCCGAGCGACCACAAGGCCCAGCGGATGGGTCGGGAAGGCAGCTATGTGAAGAATGCATGGCTAGCATAGGAAGGGTGGCATGTGAGGAGGCATAGTCGAAGATGTGGAGGCATTGTCCGATGGAAAGGTGTGGGGCGAGGAAGGTTAGGATATGCTGCCTCAGCTCAAGAGGAAGCTCGACGGTTTCTGTAGTGGGAGATTGTAAATCAGCGTCAGCCTGAGCTCTACACCCGTCCCCCGGTAGTAGGACGATCCGGGAAGCCCGGAGGAGGGTTCGCGCTTCTTTTGCGATAGTGGTGCTTAAAACGCTGTTGCGTTTCTCTACAGTTTGCTTTGGGGTATAATCGATGTTATCCGCATTGGCAAACAGGTCCACTATTCGAAGCGAGTAACTATGTTGCATTGCTTTGAGGAAATCGCTGACACCGTATTGTCCGAGGGAGTTACCACTTAGACTGAGCTTGTAGAGGCGGCAGCGAGGCGAGACAATGAAGGTAGCTATCGCCGAAGCAGACCGTTCCGTGAGACCAGTCATGGATATGCGAAGAGATTTAAGGTACGGAGTGGTGAGATGCGAGAGTAGATGTGGGACAAATACATCCCCACTAGGTACGTTGTTGAGGGCGAGATCTTGCACTCGTGAGCCGTTAACCGCGTCGGCGAAAACTAAGAGGGCACCATCATCCCACTGAAAATAGTTCTAACAATAAATAAGCTTGCGATTGTCTACTTCAATGTAAATAAATATTACCTTTGACAGTGTGAGGGCTCTCAGGCTACGATTTCCCAGCAAGTACTCGCTGATGACTGCTAGTCCTCGGTCCCCAATGCGATTGTCACTGACGTCAATGTTGTTTATCTGCTTACGATACTTCTTGCCGAGCCCAGAGCATAGCCATCGAAAGAGCTCCATAGCCCCTTCGTCGCCCAGTTTATGATGGGGCAGATTGAGCGTTGTGACTGCCGATCTGGCCGCAATGGCCTCGCAAACCCAATGCGCACCTAACACAGAGCATGTTAGTATTACCTATTACAAGTGTTACAGTTTGTTACTATGCCTTCTGCGCCATATAATGTTCTGTCCAGTGAGAACTGGACAGTGCACGACTTGTCAGATTGCGCTCCACCGGAGGAAAGGGGCACGTATACGTAGTCGTTCATCGGAAATTTGGAGCACCTTGCGGCGAAGATGTATATTTATTGTCAGTTTTCACTTTTTTAGTATATACAAGAGGCTGGGATAACTTACAGCTGCAACCTCCGATGTGGAAAGGCTGGAGAGTGTGAAGGCGCTTAAGCTAACTGCACAACTTCCCCGAAAGGGATAAGACCGTGAGAAATCAAAGTCCGACGCAGAGGTTGAGCTCAGGGGGGAAACAGACTGCGTCAACTCTTCTCACTGTGACCACCATCACTTCTTCCTGCTCCCAGGACGCTTTCCAGTCGCTCTGTCTTCAACTATGGACGTGGAGATGAAAACCAAGGACGACATTGACGACAAGGACCTCCGCGAGCGGGACAGAGACAGGGACAGGGATGTTGACCGCGACAGAGACAGAGGGGGTAGGCGCGATCGAGACGTGAAGGACAGGGACAGGGACCGTGATAGGGAGAGAGATCGCGATAGGCGCGACTCCGGTATGCGCGAACAACTCTGGTGCAGTGATTTTTTGTCAAACTCATCCCGTCAATAGCAGCACGTCGCAGAAGTGATCACTGGGAGCCTGAGGAACGACGGAACGGCGATGTGGGTGCCATGCAGGTCATTATTTGAATACTACGTCAATGTAGCTGACGTCTCATCTTGCAAACAGCGTCGCCGGCGGTCGAGGTCTAAGTCGCGCTCTCGTTCCCGGAAGCGCTCCACCTCCCCACGTAGACGTTCTCGTCGCTCTCGCTCTCGGTCCAAGTCTCTTCGTTCTCGTTCTCGCTCTCACAGCCGTGACCGCAGACCCGCAGATTCGTTTGCTCGCTCGCTCGGAGGTCCCATGAACGCGCCACACGAAGAGGCTGTCGAGTTCGCCAAAGTCAGCAAGCGCGAAAACCGGGTCTACGTCGGCAACCTCAGCTACGACGTCAAGTACAGGGACCTGATGGAATTCATGAGGGGAGGTGGGTTGGGGAATCTCAGATTAGTTTTTGCTATATTCGAGAGAGCAGAGGCGCAGCGGACGATGTAGCGGGAAAGTCGCGCGGACCGAGATATTGCTCAGGTGTAGGAGTTGCTTGGGGCTTTCGGTTTATGATGGCGAGAGTGAGGAATGGTTATTGATGGGAGCTTTCTTTTGGGATATTAGCTGGTGAGGTGCTCTTCGCCGAAGTACTTATCACGCCAACCGGCGTCTCGAAGGGATGCGGGTACGTGATTTTCGCGCCTTTGTGCCTGTTGATATGGACTGACGATGTTCCATAGCATCGTCGAATTCACTTCTCAAGAGGACGCTCAACGTGCGATCCGTGAGCTCTCTGAGCAACCTTTACTTGGGCGTCCGGTCTTCATTCGCGAGGTGGGTGGTTAATGGAAATTCTCTTTTACGGGAGTGCTGATGGCCCTGCAGGATCGTGAAAACGAGTCACGATTTGGTGCTACTCCTGTCCCAGGTAAGATAGGTATGGCAATGGCTGGACAGGGTCTGCACGCTGCACCGCCTCCGCGTCCACCCCACCACAACTACTTCGCCGCTGGCACTAACCCAGGAAATCAGCTATATGTGGGCAACGTAAGTGTTTCAACACATTCCTGCGGATTGTACGGTGACGATAGTCCATGTAGTTGCCCTACCAAGCTGGTTGGCAGGACTTGAAGGACTTGTTCCGCTCAGCTGGCAACATCATTCGCGCTGATATCAACATTGGCGCGGATGGTCGTCCTAAGGGCTCTGGCACTGTCATTTTTGAGACAGCTAAGGATGCCCAGCAAGCCATTGGTGCGTGTGCAGCCCTCTCTTCCCTGTGCACGAACCTAATTCTCCATACAGGCATGTATAATGGCTTCGAGTGGTACGGTCGTACCCTTGAGGTTCGAGAGGTAAGCATCAATGGCTCTACTCAGCGAGACTTGATGCTAAGTGCCATGCACAGGATCGCTACGCCGGCCTCTCGGGGCCAGGTGCCTACCGCGGAAGTTTCCGCGGCGGTCTTCGCGGATTCCGAGGGGGAGGCTTCCGGGGAGGCTTCAGAGGCGGTTTCCGCGGCGGCTATCCCGGAGGCCCTGGAGCGGGCACTGGCCGCGACTTCTCTGACAACCTCTACGCCGACTACTCCGGTCCCGATCAGGCTACAAGCGGCGGAATGCATGCATACGGTGGTGCAGGGTATGGTGGAGGGTACGGTGCCGGTGCTGGCTATGACGCCGAGCCCAGCCAACAGATTATGGTTCGCAATGTGAGTAGCTCGGTATATGTTAAACTGGAAAATATTCTGATTACGTGCATACAGCTACCATGGTCCACCGCGAACGAAGACCTTGTTGAATTGTTCGAGACGACGGGCCAAGTTGAGCTTGCCGAGATCCTCTTCGAGGGCACACGCTCCAAAGGCTGTGGTGTTGTTCAGTTCGGACAGGTCCCCGAGGCTGAGACTGCAATCGGTGAGCTTAACCGTCCTGATTAGCACTCGTGCGGCCACTGATGTTCGCCCTGTAGCTAAATTCCAGCAATACATGTACGGCGGCCGACCGTTGGACGTCCGGTTCAACGACCGGTGGCACACCTTCTCTCCCGGTGCCGCCAAAGGCGGTCAGAACGTGCCCATGCAGGCCGACGCTTAACTCTTTCGATCTTCTATTATTCGTACATGACCGTGTTGCTGTCCCCTATGTCCTCTCCGCTCTTACACTGAAAAACTTAAAAGCTGATGTGCTATATGGTACGATATCGCAGTGGGGTAGCTATCCTGCGTTTTACTTGTTATCATTACCTTATCGAGAGGTGTACGTTACGGCACGCCGAACGATACTTGCGTTCAGCCAGGAATTGGGCGACCGCACAGCTTGAGTGCAGACGACCAGCAAGCTCTCTTACGCAGGGTTCGTTACACCACCGCTAGCTGAGCCACAAGCCAAGATCAGCTGTACATGCCAATCGCCCGCCTGTCCAAGAGGAAAAGGCATCGCCCGCTCCCGCTTCGTCCTCCGACGGCGAGTGGACAACCTGACGTAACGTTATTTGTAGGGGCCAGCGGCAAGAACGAGCATCGTTGAAACGATCGCCTCGTTACGGAATAAGGTGTGACAATTATCTGGCACCGGCACTAGCTGAGTAATGGAAGAATGCGATGGTGTAGACAAGGAATAAAAAGTAGACGATCTTTGGGCACGATTGTCTAGAGCTCGGCATGTGATATTACGGAGGATCTCAGCACTGTAGGAAGTAAAAGACATACATAGCCAATACTGGTAGATGTTGCCTGGGGTCTTGAGAGCGATTGCACAATCACGACGAACAGCCCGATAGGGCGGACGGCCTGCGGTCCTTACAAGTCCTCAGAGTTCCCATGCAGAGACAGCGCCACCTGTACATGCAGCCTGGTACGACTCAAGCTTCATTGGAGGCGTGCCGGTGGAGAGCCTTGCTGTCGCGCTCACTTCGGGTAAAATGGTATACCAGTCCAATAGTCATTCAACACGCTCCTGCGAGCATGCAAGGACGGTTTTAGATGACGGCAAGATACAAAGCCTTGACATGTTTCGACAGTGTTTCCGCGCTTTTGACTCCTAGACCAGCCGACAAGGAATCTGCGGAAGGACTTCGTGAGAATACATCTGTCGGGCATGCCAGCATGGTGTACGGTATGTACTGATACATGTACGTACGTTGAGCCGCTGGAATGCGCCGACAGCAGTCCATGTCCTGGCGACTTGGCAGAATGCTGTTCAGCAACGTTCGTCGGCGGCATGCTTATGTCTACTTGCTCTAAGTTCTCGCTGGTCTGAGACGTTCGCGACGCAGATCTTTGACTCGAGAGACGTCGAGCAAACGTGCCCCCATCGCGTGTCGTAATTTTGAGATCCTGCGGGTAAACGCAGGAGATGATAGAGATGTGCACATCCTGGAACGGACGCAGATAGCCGTCAATGTCGGATGAAAATGCCGAGAATCGCCCGCACGGCGAGCGTGCGCCTTGCGGGGCAATTGCAGCCGAGGCCCGACTGGCCCGACGGAGCGGGTGCTGATTGGTTAGTTACCGATGACGTGTTGTGGATGTGGATAACCGCTTTTCGGGTGATTGCCATTCCTGGACGGGTGCCCTGGTCGATGGATACTCTGCCAGAATTACAAAAGACCGGCCTCGAGCTCATTTCGTTCTTTGACTACATCTTTCATCTCTCCATACCCCTCGCCCTCCCACCCCTCATCCTTGCCGCTTTTCCAGGGAGAGATGGACTCATTCTCTGAACCGCAGCGCCGCCAGGAGTACTCCCTCGCAGAGGTCCGCGAACAAGTACGCAGACTCGAGGAGGAGCACCTCGCGAAGGGCATAGAACTGTCCGGGCGCATCATTCACTTAACTCATTACCTTCCCTTCAGCGCGACGCTGAAGTCCGCCAGCTCCAGCACGTCCGCGAGCGGCCTGCAACCCGGCATTCCTAGCCCGCCTCAGACACCTCCCGCCAAGGCCAACGACATCCCCCCATCCCCCTCCACAGAAAACTCCCCGTCGCAGTCGCGCGTGAAGGCAGGCGACGAGCCATGGAATGTCTCTGTCCGTTACGGACACTCTGCAATGGTCTCGGGGATATTGTCCCTTTCGGCGACCCATGAACAGCTCTTCGTCGGCTGGACGGGAGACATCCACTCCGCACCGTCCTCGAGCCATATCAATGGTAGCGGCTCAACAACTCCTTCTGCACTGTCTGAACCCGTCAAGACGCCCTCCAAGGACGTCTCGGACGCAGATAAGGAGGCCTTCGAGCGTATCGTCAATGCCAAGGGCACCAAACTGTTGCTCAAGGACGATGCTATTTCTCAAGTTGAAGAAGAGGGAGAACCACGGAAGAGCGTCGAGTATGTGCCTGTCTGGTTGGACGATAAGGAGGCGCACGGACACTACGATGATTACTGCAAACAGAGTGAGTCTTTCCCGCCTTGTTATTTTTGCAACCCGTTCTCTATCTTGCTCTGTCCACTTTGCTTGTTCGCGCCACTCTCCTTATGCTCAATCCCGAAGTATCCCGCTACTCTTGTACGCATGCCCCAGCGGTCTGCATGTATTCACATTCCCCTGACATCATCCGTAACCATTAATCGTTTAACTTTATCTCGATCTTCTCAATTCACCACATGCCCCGCTTTCTTGGGAAGTCTTCTCTGTTGCCCTGAGCCGCCTGACTTGCCTTTCTGGTTACTACCTCCCATCAGTTTCGCTCCTCATCCTGTTCGAGCTCGAGATGCTCCCATCTTCCTGTTGATTTGCCGTAATGGCCCTCCGTGTTCGCTCGGGTTTCGGTCCAGCGCTGCTTCTTTGCCGAGAAAGGCCCTCAGTTCTCACACCTTTGCATTCCGCTGTTCTGCCAACCTAAGCGCCAGATGTCTAAAGCTAACCGTCAACGTACATAGCCCTCTGGCCACTGTTTCACTATCTTCTTTGGCAAGATGTCGCGACAGAGTACGCGAGTGCGGACGCTCATTGGGCACCATACGTTGCCGTCAACGAGGCCTTTGCGAAGGTCGTCGAACGGGTGTACAAACCTGGCGACCTCATCTGGATACACGACTACCACCTTCTCCTGCTTCCGAGTCTCATTCGCCAAGTACTCCCTGAAGCAGCCATTGGTCTCTTCGTCCATACACCTTTCCCAAGTAGCGAAGTTTTCCGGTGCGTCCAGGTCTTGCCTCAATATATGTCCATTAAATCTGATTATATGCGCCCACGCAGCTGTCTCCCGCGTCGCAAGGAAATTTTGGACGGTATGCTCGCCGCCAATCTTATCTGTTTCCAGACCTACTCGTACTCGCGCCACTTTGTCTCCACCTGTGTCCGAGTATGCGGTTACGAGTCGACTTCGCGCGGAGGAATCGATATTCAGGGACATGTCGCCAGTATCACTTGGTGTCCAGTCGGTGTTGACGCTGAGCGTGTCAAGGGTGACTTAGCACGCCCTGGCATCCAACCCAAGCTCGAGGCGCTCAGAGCGTTGTATGCCGGCAAGAAGATCATTGTTGGACGCGATAAGCTGGACGTCGTCAAAGGAGTCGTGCAGAAGGTATGTTTAGGCGCGCGCATACTCTTCAGTGTACTGACGAGTCGTTCTCTCGCCAGCTCCGGGCGTTTGAGAAGCTCCTGCAAGACTACCCGCAATGGGTCGGCAATGTTGTCCTCATCCAGGTCACCTCGCCTGCTCTCACGGATTCGCCCAAGCTTGAACGCCAGGTGTCTGAGCTTGTTGCTCACATCAATGGAGAATATGGCTCACTCGATTTCGTTCCTGTTCATCACTAGTACGTCATTCGACATGCACCAGCTCTCTGGGTACTAACATAGATCCGATAAAGTCACCAGACCATCAAGAAGGACGAGTTTTACGCTCTCTTGAGCGTTGCTGACCTTGGTGTCATTACTCCTCTCCGCGACGGTATGAACACAACTTCGATGGAGTTCGTCATTGCCCAGGATCGGACAAACAAGAGCCCACTCGTGCTCTCCGAATTTATGGGTATCTCCAGCAACATGACTGAGGCGCTCCAGATTAACCCTTGGAATCTCGGCGAGGTCGCTGCCGCGATGCACAATGGACTGACGATGTCGCAAGAGGAGAAGTTGCAGCGACACGAGAAGCTCTACAAGGTTGTCACGACGCATACCTCGCACACCTGGGCGGCGCACCTGGCTAAGTTGCTCCTCGAGCAGCTCGGCAAGGTTAATCTCGCGAAGCGAACCCCTTTCATCCCAAAGAACCAGCTCGAGGGCCACTACTTGAAAGCGAAGAAAAGACTCTTCCTCTTCGACTACGACGGCACATTGGCGCCAATCGTCAAGGTCCCGAGCATGGCGACCCCGACCGAGAACACGCTCAAGGCGCTCACTCAGCTCGCTGAGGACCCGAAGAACCTCGTGTACATTATCTCCGGTCGCGACCAGGCGTTCCTTGAGCAGCACCTCGGGCACATCAAGAACCTCGGCATGAGCGCGGAACACGGAGGCTTCATCCGTGAGCCTGGTAGCACTACTTGGCGAAACTTCACCGAGAACCTCGACATGAGCTGGATGGGCGAGGTCCTCGAGATCTTCAAGTACTACACCGAGCGGACGACGGGCAGTCAGATCGAGGTCAAGAAGAGCTCGATCACATGGCACTACCGGAGCAGTGATCCAGAGTGGGGGTGAGTGCCTTTTCGTATCATGCAAGTCACGTACATTCGCTGACAGGTGTCGTAGATTGTTCCAGTGCAGACAATGCCAGGACCTACTCGAGAACAACTTGGCACGCAAGCGGCCGATTGAGGTTCTTGTCGGCAAGAAGAACCTCGAGGTGCGCCCTATTGCGGTCAACAAGGGCGAGATCGTCAAGCGGATATTGTACTACAACCCCGATGCCGAGTTCATCTTCTGCGCGGGCGACGACAAGGTGTGACTTTTGGTGCCTTCACTGGTTATTTAGCATACGCTAACACGTTTCCTGCAGACCGACGAGGACATGTTCCGCGCGCTTCTTCTGTTCCAGAGCCCGTCTTCACCAAAGTCGTCGGCCCTTGCCTCGCCAAAGATTGTGATGGAGCCGCCACTCTCCGTGACGCTCCTCGCGGGTCAGGACGGGGCGGCGAAGTTCGGGCCCGTCGAGCTCGCGATCGAGCGCAACGCGGTCTTCACGACTGCCGTCGGGCACAGCAGCAAGCGCACGCTTGCAGTCTGGCACGTCACGACACCCGAAGAAGTCGTCGACCACATGTTGCATCTCGTCGGGATCAACGATGGGGAGAAGAGCAACCTATAAGCTGTCGAGGGGACGTGAACGGACGGCGCTTGGGTGTGAGAGTAAGATAGAAGATCAGCGGAAGAGAATGCAAAGTTACGCACATGTACCATTACACACACGTATTTTAGAGTGCTCTTGTTACTATTTTAGCTACTGTTTTCTTTTTTTCTGTATGCCGAATTACTATCGAATACTATGGCACAGTTGGCAAGGCGGTGCTCTAGATCTCTGAATGGCTGTTTTGTTGGATATACTACCCATCGTTTCAGTGCATTATTATCCTCTTTGGCACAACTTGTTATATGCCCGTGAATTTCCCTTGATTTCTCACTGCGTACACGTTGTAGGGTATTCGATTATAGTGCAAGCTAAGGCTACAGATGACATAATGATACAGCATGCGAAACTCCATGCTCAGGCCTTTTTGGCAGCAAGGCGAGTTGACCTCCTCGCAGGGGCTTCTGGCGCTGCTTTCGCCGCCTTTCGCGACTTGGTAGCGTTCCGCGCGACAGGTTTCTGCACGACCGCAGGCTCTATTTCATGCATATCCCGAGTGTTGGTCTTGCGTTTCTGTATCGTACACGTACGAAGTTGCGCATCCTCGGCGTCTGGAGCCTTGTCGTCCCGTTTACGCTTGCCAATGGTGGGCGGCGAAGGGGCGCCATCTTGCTCCGTTGCCAACCGTGCAGACCTCCGCACTGGGCCTGCACGAATCATCGTCTTGTCAGCTGCGACCCTCGCAGGTGCTGCACGCTCGTTGGGTTTCATTGCAGTGGCGACGGTGGCAGCAGCCTTTGACGCTTTGGTGATCTTCGGGGCCGCAGCTGCAGCCCTGGCCTTCGGTTTCGCAGATGTCTTAGTAGCAGCTGTCGCCGGCTTTGCTTTCGAGATCGCTTCATGAGCGGGAACAAGTGCTTTCGCTCCGGAAGCTGAGGATTTGCGGGACGTCCTCAACTTCCGGGCATTGGTGGCCTTCCGCGCGGTGGCCACCTGCATAACCGCCTTCGCCTTTCGAGGAGGGGAAGCCCTTCTGGATGTTGTAGTCTTTCTGGGCGTTGTAATCTTCTTCGGCTTCAGCGTCTTCTTGCGATCCTTTGCCGTTCGCGAGGCCCTTGTCCTCGCTGTCGGCCGCGAGGCGCCTAGGCCAGACCTCCCCGCGTTATTGCCCTCGGCGTCGTCACCCTCAGACTCTTCTTCGATATCACGCAGCCGATCCGAACACTCAGATCCGCCCTCATCGATCTTCCGTGTCATGCTCTTGAGAGACTCCGCGAGAACATGTGCGAACACCACTCCGGTGAAGTTCTTCCGGCGCGACGAAGTCATCACCGGCTGGTTCGTGCACTGGTCGTATAGGCAGTCGTCCAAGTAGTCAGTGATATCCAGGGGGTGACCGTCTTCATCGAACCATGCCGATTGTAGAATTTGAAGCATTGCATCGTGCTTGTCTAGGGGCCTCTGTGAACCGTTGCTAATAGCCGAACCTGAGGACGAGCCGGACGAAGATGGGGGTGCGCGTCGATTAAGATGTGGATGGCGGCTAAACACGTCCGGAGCATACCGCGCAGTGTGAGACGGGCTCTTCTTCTGTCCGAAGCCCTTCTCACGAGCGAACCGACTGGGCCCGCCGGCCTTGGGCGCCACTGAAAACTGATCAAGGGTAGTCTGATCAACTCGACGGTAGTGGCGGTTCAACAGTTTGTAAGCCTTTTGCAGTACACGTTCCAGCGATGAGGGTCCGTTTAATTGATCCAGTTTGATGGGAACTCGAATGGCTTGGATGGCCATCTCTTTCACGAAGCCGCCGACGTAGATACCTTGGCTTCGCTCCGCCTCGTGGAATACTTCGTAAAAACGGAATGCAAGGCTCTCGTTCCGTGCATTGGCAGCCCTTTGCTGCTCCAGAGAAGAGCCAACCGGGGCCAAAGAGGAGAACTCGTGAAAATGAAAACTCATTGCCATGAAAAGCAAGATGTAGACGAACGATTCAATGTCGTCCGCGACTTCGGCAGGCTTGAAGGGATATCGTAAAGCGAGTGCGGATTTGAAAGGCCAGGTGCCCTGAAAGCAGTAAATTGAACCTGCGATACACGTCAATTACACATGATGGCACAGCTCACAGATACGCCAGCCGGCTCCGACGCAGAGACACCGTTCAATAAGTCTTCGCGGTACTTCGCCAAGTCCCAATCGTTGAGAAATGCCACATTATTATCGGTATTGATGAGAATGTTACCCGGGCTGACATCGTGATGAAGGACCCCTGCTACTTCCCAGGCGAGCGCATGAGCTGGACGAGAAATGAGGCTCATTTCGAAACGGAACGGATAGTGAGGCACGTACCACCGAGGGCTTGTGTGACGAAAGTGATCAGCTCAAAGGAGCCACGATAGGTTTCTAGTGGTCGGCCAATCTCCTTCGTAACGAGGCGGGTGTGAACACGCTCGGCGGGCCGAACGCTGATGTTGAAATGTTGCATAAAGTGTTGTGACCCCGTCCTGTGGTTATCGACGTCTCCCCCAGCGATGGGTGTGGCAAAAAATTCACGATCCTCGTCTTGGAGACGGCTATGTAAACGCCGATACACGTCCAACTCCGGTCGCCGAGGGGTTGCCCGCCATTGATCTTTCAGGAAAACCATGCGCTGCATCTCAACTTCAAGAGCCACATAGCCTCTGGTACATCGACCAGTAGGCGACGAACGCGCAGTGATAGGCTTGCCAACCAGGTATGTCCTCTGCTCCGGGGGAAGCGGGTCTCCAGCATCGTCGACACCGGCAATCTGGGCGGCATCGCCAATAGAGATGACTGGACATGTAATCTGTCGCGTGTGGATCAGATGAAAATGAAGACATGTGAACAGTAAATAAGCACAAACCTTGTAGATGGGATACAAATGCTTATCCGGAGTCAGATAATCCTGAATAAACTGCTCCAGGGCAGGTTTGCCTTTTGGACGACATGCGCGGAGTGTCCGAAGGAGATCAGGAGATGCCAAGCTGACAGTGCCATCGAAGCCCTGGTCCTTGGGCGAGAGGTTAAGAAGTCGATATGTGATGTCACGAAACAGGGTGAACTGGGACTGGAGGTCTATCGGGGCCGAAACAACGCAGCCAGCTCGGTCGAAACGAAAGAAGCGGACGGCTGATGAGGCGATATATATGGAGTACACGTGGGTGCGATGCTGCCGTTGCATAATTTCGCATGCGTACTTGACAAACTGGGCCCGTGACTGACGACCCTTGGGAGTGTCGCGAAGGAGCGGAATCCGTGCTCGGGAGTCGGTGTCCGTAGACATGACTTCAAAGCCGTAGCCAGCGTCTTCGTCCTTGCATTTAACCTCAAGAGCTATAATCATCCATGCCCAGGCACACCGAGCAGCGTTCGTGTCATCCTCCTGAATTCCGCGGAGATATGCCTCCATCGCCAAGGGCACATCCTCCGGGTAGAGCGCCATATCTGGGCGAAAGTCGGTTTCCTTTGTCTCGCAGTGTGTGGCCGTAATGCTGAAGCGTCCTTTGCAGTCTGAGACCTTTGCCACAGAGTTGAATACATCACACTAGTCGTCAAGTTATCCGTAAGACATCCACCAGAATGCTACACCGGCATGCTTACCAAAGGACTGTATCGAAGGTCCTCTGTCTTGCTATTGAGTTGGGAGAAATCAATGGTATCGAATCCCTTCACGTCGTGCGCCACTTCATCGTCCATGTCTATGCCAGGAACAAGCTCCTTGAACTCCTCGCCAGCGAGTTCAACAGTGACGGAATCAATTTCGCTCAACAGCTTCTCTTCATGGTCGGCAGCCTTGTGAACAGGATCATCCTTGCAAAAAGCATCATACTCAGCTGCCATAGTTCTTTTCGGCGGGGAACACTTTTGGTCGTTCTGAATGTGTGCAGGAAGAACTCTAGGTGGGGGAGTGGCGAAGCGCGTGCGATCTTTCGGACTGCGAGATGCTTGTACGTTTCCGTCGTCGGAGCCAGAGACCCGTAAAAGGCACTCGACAGTGTCTTCGTCTGGATTGGCCTCCGTGGAGGGAGTTATAGCTGGGGAAACGCCCTCAAAAGACGGAGAAGGGCGATTGCTATTAGAATCGGTTGTGGCGTCTTCAACGAGAGGCTGGTCCTGGACGCGAGAATCCTTTGTAAAAAGAGTTCTTTTATCAGCGCAGAAAAACTGAGATTTCCCTGTGTCAAGCTCTCCTGAGGAAGGCGAGGGATGTGTGGCCGGTAAATCAGTGGCCATGGTGGTAAGAATTCACAAACAAACCTTTGCACGCGTGCAGATCTCATAGGAAACGAGTCACAGTGATGGGTCACAACTGGAGAACAAATAAGGGGCTGCATCACCAAAACAAGGCCAGAATGGGCTTGTTACCTCGATACGTTGGACGGAGGTGGTCAAAGCACGTGCACTCTGAAATGTGAATCTGAAACCATGTCTGTAAGCATTGAAAATATGGCACTTTGTGGACGCAACAATTACCGCTAAGCAACACGACGAGAATGTTGATACGACCAGTTCTATGCAGAGTCTAGCCCGCCGATTTGTCGGTGAAGTCGGCGAACCGCTGTTCGTTTTGTGGCATGCCCGGAGACTGCCGGCTACCGCTGGCGCCCCGCTTGCCGCACAGCCCCGGGCCAATCTAGTAACCGCGCTGTCCTCCCGAGCGAGGGCGCCAACGTCTACTGTGTCTGGCATGGTTCGCACATTAACTCCCTGCCATCACTCGCCAGCTAGGGTCCACGTCGGAGGAACCTGTGCGCACTGGCTTCATTCAGTTGAACGTTGTCCATTGCACTCTCACACCCTCGGCTGTGAGATGTTCTTCCCTGCATGACCTGGATTGTCTTAGGTATCCCTGTGTAGATTCTAGCCAAACATCTGGGAGCGACAAAGTCGTGCCCCACCTCATCTGACCTCGCAGGCTGGTCGCCTCTATCCCAACTCCAGCTCGCCGACATATACTTGTAGAGATATGTCAAGAGCACCGGGACAGACCAAGACTCCTTTTGATCCCATGGCTCTGCCTCAGCTTCGGAACCTACTACGATGTTGGGGGGTCTTCCCAGACACCCAACCGACGTGTGCAGCTGTCATCTGCATACTCCACGCGGGAGTTCTGGAAGTACAGCCGGGCACGAGCCTCACACGTTGTCTCGATGACAGTCACAGCCACAATACAATTGGCATCGCCTCAGGTGAGTTGAACTTAAACAAAGCACATCTTTTCAGTTAATACTAATGGCATATAAGCCGATTATCTAGGTCGCAAGGCTAACCCCCCTCCCCAGACCGTATAAGCCCTGAAACATGGACATCATCACACATCGAACCAACACCGATAATCATGTAGCTCTGCATATGCAGCCCAACAACGAAGAAGCTCCGATGGGGTCCCTCGACGAGACTCGACTACCTCCGCCCGTCACCTCGAGACGCGAACATAGTTCGCCGGCCGCGACGTGGTACAGAACTATCGTCCTTGCATCCACTATCTGCTTCGGAACTTGGAAGATGGTGGCAACCGTTCAGAATGCGACTGCCGTATCGACCGCCTTGGACTACTTGACCGGCGTAGTCCTAGCAGCTTTGTGAGTGTGCGCTCTGCTGTCATACCCGTTACTTATTGACTGCTCTTGACAGCTTGTACGTGCTAGGAGAGTGTAAAGATATCTCGACTCTCCGCTGGCTATTTCACCGCAACGTCATCTCAGACGTACGATGCCTTCCAGTGCACGGGGTCAGAGCGGTCGCGGTAGCTAGTGAGTATTCGTTGTTTCTGCTTCGTAGATCATCCCGTGACCGTCGCATATTTAGCGCGAAGGGCTTCTAGTCTTAGTTTTGGGTCTTGTGTAGCCCGAATCTTCATATTGTACCCGCAGCGCGAAGGGCGTGAAACGGCGCTCGATGGAGCTGGCACATCGGGCGGTTCAACAACACTTACTCTGGTGCGTGATGATGCCAGAGACAAAATCATGCCACTCACGTCGCAGTCAAGGATCCATTCCCAGAGCTACCAGCTGAAGTCATAGGTATTATACTTCGTACCGCCATCGCGGCATATGTCGAGGAGTACGTAGAGCAATCCCTGGCTGCGCCCCTTTACTCCAAAGATAGTTGGGTAAGCGCGCACATTAGGCTCTTGATAACTGTACATAATCTGATCGGTCGCTTGAAGGATGAAGTTTCGTTCAAACAGCAGAATCCAATAGTGCCTCTCCTAGAAGTCAACTACTGGGTTAGAGAGGCGACATTGGCATTCACCGCGAGAACACTATCAATTCCCGCTGTTCACGATTCCCGCCTCGGCAGGTATGCATCTATTAGATACAAAACCCTTCAAGTCTGACAAGTGTTCAGCTTATCCATACGTCCGTGGGCCAGGATAGAACAGATTCGCTCGCTGAGCAGCACTGCCGTCGAATCAGGCTCATGGCTGGTTGCGCTAAAAGAGCTCGCATCATCCCCTCTTGCCCACACTTACGCTGCCTTGCACATAGCGCAGCGCAAGGTCAGCTTGGCGACCTGCCTTTACGCGGAGATTGTAGAGCTAGAAGACGACACGGAATGTTCTCTCCTAATTCCCTCGGAAGCGGACCAGGAAGTGGCCACGGAATGTCTGACGCTGCGTTTTTGTCAAGCGTTGCATTCTTGTCAGGACTACATAGACGAGGCGAGCTCTCTCATCAGCATCGCCAAGCAAGCCTGGCTGCAATTTCCTAGCATGAAGCTACTTCCAGCGCTCTGCGAAGACATCACTTTAGAGAGCACTTCAATGAGAAATCGTACGGCGTCTCTTTCAATTCACACTTCCAGCTCGCGGAAAGCTGCCGTACTGGACCATCTTATATCGCACATGTGGGATAGAAGGGAGAATGGAGACATGCTGCTTCGAGTAAGTCCCTCTCCGCTGACTGATACGTCAGCGACTAACGCGCAGTAGTCCTTAACAGCGTTACGGGCTCTCATGCCAGAGATGGGAAAATCTCCTCCCAGCCTAGATACCACTACTTTCATATCCCCGTGGCATAATCTGGACGACAAATCCGTACGTATCATTTTCTCTTAGAGTTTTTCTGTGTACTGACCACTGAGCCAGCGCGGTAAGCTTCGTCAATCCTTGTCGAGTTTCATGGAATACAAGCTGCCCGACATCTATAATTCGTCCATGCTCGAGCTGCACTCGGCAGCAAGAACTGCAGCAAGCGATTTACTTGATTTACTTCCTTCGTACACCAGGAGAGAGCCGGAGAGTGTAGCGGAGACATATTGACCAAGCTTTTTGGTCAGTAGCAGCGAACTTAGTCCCTTGTCCAAGGATGCCTGACCAAGTTTTCGGCGTGTCTTATTTTTTCGTGTTGAACTGGGGATAGCATGGGGTGCATCATACCGGTCTTTCTCTTGGGCTCTATTTTCTGAGTAGGATACAATGGATGATTATAATATATGCTTGTAGTACTAGCAGTATTTATTAACAACATGCTTGCTCCGTGACGGTCAGTCATCCTCCATGGACTGTCGCATTTGTTGCGGCTGAGGACCAGCTACTCTTGCAGGAACCTTGTATTTCATGTGAGTGCGACAGAAAAGCTGTTCGTCTGAGAGGGCTACTCACAGGCGAAAACGGCCACAGCGCTCTACTAGCGATAAATATAGCTCAGCTACTAATCTACAACTCCGCTACAGTATGTCTTCGATATGGGCACGCGTACAGATAGCTAATGTTCTACTTAAGGACTTCTCGTCTGTGGGTACATTAGTTTCGAACATGGTATGTAACCTACTTTTCGTTGGTCCCTGTGGTGCTCAATAATTTACCACGCAGCCCCTTGTGCTCGCCAATCGCTTCATGATTAATCTGCGCATGGCCAGCTTAGAAGTGCTAGAGTACTCCACACGAATTGCATACCAACTGCAAGAGCCATCAACAGCGCATTTCAGAAGGTCAACGAATCGACTGGGAAATATCGGAGACTGGGAAATATCGGAGAGACGCTGCAGAACGGCTGGGATGACGATGGCCTCGTAGAAGAGGGGAATGGCACCACAGAAGTGGACGAGACACAGCTCTCGTGAGATCTGCGCCGGGCATGACCTGTCACCGAAGGCCATGGTGGATTATACCATGTACCAGCCAGATAGCAATTTTTGTAGCCCATCACATGCGAGTAGAAAATTCGGAGCCCGTAGTATCCAATGGTTGCAAGCGCAGTACTGTACTTTTACGACTGTAGCGGATGTCACACGTCACACCGGTTTTCGGCTGACACCGCCAATAGTATTTTCTCGATTTATGGTGATTTTGGCGACTTGTCGGAAAGACTCATTTTGGGCACTTTCATCCGCTACGGTTGTAAAAGTACAGTATATCATCAAGCCGCTTGGTGCAACTTCCTCTGTTTTGACCTTAGCTTTCATCGCTGGTCTATCTGCTAATACTATTTGTCTCCTGAAACAGTACTATAGTTCACTAAAGGACCCCACAACGAATTTTGACTTTTCACTTGCCGTGTCTTGGGCTACCGCACGCGGCCGTCCACAGCCATCTCGACCTCGTCAAGGGACGGATTCACTTGGATGTCATCCAAGAGCTTGCCGGCATTATACATTACTTTATATGATACTATAGTTCTCGGCCGGATGTCTGGGAAGATAGAATATCTGTTCACTTTACCCCCGTGTCGACAGTCCAAAAGGTGCAACCGGCCGGGGTGCAGTGGACACACCGGCAATGCACAACAAGGATAGAACACCCACTAATTCCAATTAAGATACCTATTTCCAACACCCTTCGGCGCATACTATACTGCATCCGTGACCTTGTCCGACTTAGACAACCGTGTGCCTCCATAAAGCGAGTTTGTTATTCGCGTCTTCCAGGGGATCTCTCGTTCTGCGGCCTGCTACGAGGGTCGATAGCGGAGACCTCGACCGCATTATTGTCAAGCCTGGTTCTAAGCTAAAATATTTCAGAGGCTGTTGGATTATCCGAGCCCTAACCTAAGCAAGCGGGTGTCTTGACGATGCTAAGGCGAAAGACGCGATGAACAATGGGCAAAATCGGTTGTGTCCGATTTGGTGATTGTTACTATCGCGAACGCCTCTAGGGGGTGGAATACAGATGTGCCCAGTGACAGAAGCTGATTGTGGTATGGAAGAACGTATGAAGGTTGCTATTGGACAAAAAAAATGAGTTTGGAATTGGTGCAGACTGTACTCACAGTTTGGCGGACAAGGGTGCGCAAACGTGAACGAACGCGCACGAACGTGCACGAAAGCTCACAAAAGTGGGCGAACGTACATGATCGTGCACAAAAGTGGGCGAACATACATGATCGTGCACAAAAGTAGACGAACGTACACGATCGCGCACGAAAGCGCACGAACGCACACGATCGTGCATGCCGCTGAGCTTTGGTTTTGGTTATGCCCTGATTTGAGATTGGCGATGGCGCTAATGTGTGTGCGTTCGTGCATGTTTGTGCGTGTTCGTGCGCGTTCGTGCGCATTCATGCACTCAACTTATTATTCAGTTTCGTGTAAGCTGACAATTGGTTTTCATTTTCGTGATTATGCATCTCATTTGAATCTTCGAGTGCTCGAAAGTGCGCGAAGGTGCACGAAGGTGCACGAAAGTGTGCGAAGGTGCGCGAAGGTGCGCGAAGGTGCGCGAAGGTGCGCGAAGGTGCGTGAAAGTAAACGTCTAGCGAAAATGAATTTGTGATAACATGAATATGTAGTTCGTCAAATGCACACTTTCGTGCGCGAAAAGTGCACGAAGGTGCACAAACGTGAGCTTTCGTGCACGTTAGCGCACGTTAGTGACCAAACGCGCATCATCGTGCATGAATACGCACGAAAGTGCACGAATACGCACACATAACCTTAGACGCACATCGAAAACAAAAATTTGCGGCCGGTGTGAAAGTGAGAATTTATTTTTGTCCAATAACACCCTTGATAAGAACGTGTCCTGAGAACTTGAAGGCCCCACGACACTTTGCGTGATGGCAGTCATTCGGCGATACCATAACCTTTGAGTCTCCTGCTCGCATACGTTACAAATGTCACAGTGTCCACTCGACACAAAACATACTCCATTGTACTTGCGGGCATTGGTTCATGCCTCTGCACTATTCTCGCTCCGTCCTGCCCCATCCACTTCTGCGCGGTCAATCTCTTCGTTTGTGGGCCCGTCATTGTCCCAGGCACTCTGCAGCATCTCTCCGATATTACCCAACCGATTTGTTGGCCTTCTGAACTGCACCGTCGACTGTTCTTGCTGTCGATTAGTAAGATGCATAGAGTAATTCAGCGCCTCCGAGTCGACCGTTCGCAGGTTGATCATGAAGCGATGGATGAGCATTGGAGGCTGCGTGGCGCGTTAATCAGTACCAAGGTAGCTGACGAAGAGTACTGTAGTAAGCCCACCAGTGTCTCGGAAAGTTGCGCTACGGGTGACCCAATCTTAGACGCAGCGTCAGCCGTCAGCCCATGCGCTCATTCCGGGGACCTACCACAAGATTGTGGGTCAGCAGCTGTGCTATGTTGACCGCTAACAAAGCTCTATATTTGTTGCCACCCATGAGTTACGCTCGACTGGTCGCCTTTGTTGTTATGCTCACATGAAATAGATGGTGCCTGTGTGGGCAGCCGGGCCTCAGCGCTCAGCAGTAGTAGCAAATACAACTCTGCATGGAAGACTACTGACCGTCACGCAGTAGACACGTCGCCAGTGATACCTGGGCGTCGACACTGCGGGAACACCTCCAATTTCCGAATGTCTTGATCCACGTCAGAACAAGCACAATCGTGTCGGCGAGGACGAGCGAACTGTGGGTGATACATGCCACTAAGCAGGTTCCATCAGCATTTACAGAGTGCGATGATTTGTGGTTATGACACACGTCTGTGCGGTGATAGATAAGCATCGTGGACCAGAAACAGTGAGACGTGTGTATATACATATCATTTGCCTGCGGAGAGAATGGGAGCGTTGATTCGCATTTCACACCGAAGGTCGGATCCGCGACGATCATGAACCTCGACATCGTCGTGAAGACCTACACAGAAGTGTCAACTAGAGCATATACAGGTATGAGTAGAGGCGACACGCACCAGGTTCACTATGAACGGTGCCATACTCAGCGCAAAAACTACTAGCGACCAGATGCGGCTCCTATTCCAGATCGTGAAGACGCGCAGGGCAGAAAAGACTGGTGCGTGTAAGTTAGCAGGCAGTC